CAAAGACCTGGCACTTCAAGGCTTCCGTCCTGTCCTGGTGGGCCAGGGCGGGGGTAGCCAGGATGGTTGCCTGGGCCCTGGTAGGCGCCACCTCCTCTCTTCAGCTAAATGCTGGACTCCTCTAGTGCTGGTATAATGCATCCGCTAATTCTCACTCTGCTGTGAGTGGCTAACTCTGGGCTCCACCTTGGCTGCAAGTTCGACTTCATAGGCACCTTGTTCTACATTGACTATAAGAGAAACTGAGGCGAGTTGACCCTTGGGCTGCTCAGTGGCCCAGGGAGGTACAGAGTGCCGAGGGTGCTCGGGAGCAGCCACTTCTCTGTGCTCCATTGGCTGTCCCTACAGTAGGAGGGGGTAGTGGGGTGCCGGCCTTCCTCCAGGACCCCAGAACAGGACAGCCCTGGACCAGCAGCCAGATTTGGGTGGACCTCACCTGCGCAGGCTCTTGGCCCAGCGATGAAGCCGCCTGCTCCCCAGTGCAGGAGCCTTGCCTGTCCGAGCTGGCTCCGAGTCCCCCACCAAGAGCCCTGTAGGGTCTTTGAGGCTCTCTGCTTCCTGTGAGCCACTCACAGATCCACCCTTTAATTATCCCCTCAGACTCACGCCACCGCAGAAATCTACCACAGAGTCTTCTGATGCAGCTGCTCCCTTCCCAGACTTCCCTGTATGGCGGAGGGAGAGGCAGGCATTTGGATTGTGTCACCCGCTCCCAGGTGGCCCTGGGGCAAGTTTGAGACCACCTCAGGCCTCAATTCCCTCTCCTGCGAAATAAAAGTGGTCTGCTCTGTGCTGGGCCCAGGAACAGGGAACCTGACATCTGTTCCCCTGCTCCAACGCTGCTCCTTTATGGAGCCCAGCCAGCTGGGTGACTTTTCATGGAAGGGATCTCCAACAGGCCTCTCCTGGCCCCAGGATGTGCCCGTAAGAGCAGGGGTCGGGACTCTCCCATGGCCAGCATGCAGCAGGTTATTAATAGAACTGGGCCCTTCCTATGTTCCCACCCTCTGTTTTCCTAGACCTGAGCTCGCAGATGTCACCAGGGCGTCTCTAGGCCCTGGATCCCGGGGAGGAAGCCCCTGCAACAGGCAGAGCCCCACGTGGCTCCTCTGGGCTGACACAGCTGGCTGAGCACCAGTGCTAGCCCGGCCGCCTCCCTGGTCCTGAGAAGGAACGACACTGGCCATTCCCCAAGGGAGTCTGCTGTCAAGTGGACAAGCCAGGAAGCGCCCAGTCATGGAAAGGGGCTCAAAACTGGCCTGTCTGAAATTCGGGCCTGGGTGTCCCTTGCCACACTCTGCTTCCTGAAGAAAGAAAATGGCCTGAGGCTAGAGGGGCCAGGAGACTCCAGCTCCTCAGCACAGGGATGCCCTCGGCAGGGTGAGAGCTGGCCTAACCTGGAAGCCACTCTACACCCAACAGCTGCACAGACCCGGATGAAACCTGTTAGGCCTCCTGCTGGTAAGAAGAACAGGGCAGTGTTCTAGGCCGCAGCAGAGGTCCCCGGGAGGAAAGGTCCTCATAGAGGAAGTGGGCGTAAACCGCTGGAGCTGGGGCCAGGGCTGCACTAGGTGGGGGCTGGGGGCTGGACGCTTCACTGTTTGGTTTTGCACATCCCAGATTTTTGCTAACAAATTCATCTTTCTGTTTTTTTTTTTTTTAAAGTAGGGGCA